TTTATTCATTTTAAAATTTGTTAAAGAACTTGACTCGAAACTATGATAGTACTCAGTACACTGTTCTATAGCTCAAGCAATTGCTTTATTTCCACTATTAAAACCCTAAGCCGTAACAAAGGGCTCCAATGTGGCCTTGGCAATGCACACCAAAAGTACAAACAGGGACACTATCCATGCGCAACATGGCACTGTTAGTACTCTGATATTTTTCAGCTGTTGATGGAATCAGCCTCTCTGAGAGCTACCACAGAGTTCGGGAAACCTGACTACCAGCCGGCCTCAGAACCATAAAACTGAGTTTTAGAGCTGTACCCTCATTTGTAGATAATAGAATGAGTTGCCTAGTCATAAAAACAGAGACACAAGCAAAACCCATGAATCGAGTCAAGAAGATCCAGCGTTCAACATCCTAAACTGGAAACAATGTATTAAAAATACATCTGCGCAAGCGTAATAGATGACGAAGGGGTGCGAGGCTGGTCAACAGATAGAATCTGTTTACCCCTTAAGTCTTTGCCTAGGAGGCCTTGTACAAGACAGCAGCCGGATGCATGTAACATCTGCCCAAGATGAGTATTTTTATCGAGACACTATCTCTAGCCTTTACTCAACCAAGAGCCCCAAGGCAGGGGGTGTTTTATGTCGGAGTTTGCATCTCCTAGTTTTTGCCTAAAAAGGCATATCCTACAAGGAACAGGACATGAAGCTAATGCAGGCTTCTATACAATACAAGGCAGCAGGACATGAAGCTTTCAATATTATTATTCATTATAATTAATATATTCATTATAATTATAAAATTAATATTATAAATAATATATTCATTATAATTATAATATTTCAATAATATTATTCAATATAATTCAATATAAGGCAGCAGGACATGAAGCTTCAATAATAAGAAACATATTAAATGCAATTTGCAGTGGATTCCACCTGAACCTGGATGCTTTTTCCTGTAAAAATTAAGTTATCAATATATATAATCAGGAATTACATATTAATGCTTAAAAAAATAAGGTAAACATATTTTTCACTTGATCACTAAGTCGTTTCAAAATATGACAAACTGAATTTTGCTAAAGTTAATATGCCATTTCATTAACTTTCAGCCCATTTTTACTGATACGCTGCAAAATGTTTAACATTTTTTCAAAGATTTATAGGCTTGAGACAAAATCCGATAAAAACTTGGGTTTATCAAAAAAAACATTTCATTTTTACGAATGAAATATTTCAGTAACGTAATCATCTTGGCTAAGCTACAGTTTTAAATAAATTTTTGAAGCACCGCATTTTAACTACTTGTACCCTTTTGTTCAAATCTTGTTTAAATTATTTTTCTCTTTTGCAATTAAAAGAGAAATGTATGTAACAAACAAAAAGGGAAAGAAAAATCGAGCTGATTGTAGAAATAATGCTTCATTTCTATAGCCTAGATCTGAAGATGTTAACATTTTGAATATTAATTCCTATTTATTGATTTACAATCAAGTAAACAACGTTATTTGTAACTTAAATTAAACTTTTACTTCCTAACGAAATTAGAAGAAAAATACTACAAAACTTAAGAATTTTTTTATTTTGACAACAAAAATTGGGTGAAGAAACCAATGGCGGTTTATTATAATTATTTAAAATTATTTAAAAATAATTGTCATGAACATAATAAAAATAATTGTCATGAACATAATATATATTTTACAATATTATAAAATATATTTAATATTTTATTTAAAAAATATATATTAAACATATACAATAAAAATTTTAAATATATATAATATATTAAACAAAAGATTTCCACATAACATTACTATTAACTCAACTTCTATCTTATTTAAAATCAATTCATAAAAACATAAAAGATAAGAAAAATAATTCTAGTTTTTATTTATTTATAACTTACATTATATATTTAATTTAATAAAAATTATTAATAAAGTTAATTAAATAAGAAACTGAAACTTAAATTTTAAACATTCATTTTAGAAGCTGTTGAAAACGTAAAGAAACCTTTTAGAATGTTGCAATACTACTATTATTAAAAGAAATAATTATGTAGCAAAAATAATAATAATACATGAAATAATTTATGATTTATATAATAATTACTAATACTTCAAAATAAATTTATTAACTTATATTAAACAAAAATTATTATTAAATAATATTAAACAAATAAAATTTTTAAATCTATTAAAAATATAAAAATAAAATATTAAAATTAATTCGTATTTTTTAAAACATATCTAGTTATAAAATAATATATTAAATAGTTCATTTGATATTTTATAATTATTGTTTTTATTTTATTTAAGATATTAAACTTTTTTCTGTGTTATAAAGTTTTTTAATTCATCGAGGTTACGAAAAAAATATTTTCCACGGTACTCGATAAACAACCTCTTGAGATTCAAACAACGAATCCATTCATAAATCTCTTCAATGAAATCGATTTCTTTGTGAAGTGAAAGACTTAATTCTTCACAAAGAATAATCCACGGAAGAAAATTTTCTTCAAAATCTTTTTTTGTTATTAAATAACTTAAGATGTCTATAACCAACACTTCAATTTTATCTTTCGGTTTACATCCTTCAAATTTAATTGGACACAAAAAATTGACAAAGCGAACAGTTGTTGAACATTGAATTATAAGATTTTTTTCTTCATCACTTAAAATATTTTTATAAACTATTAACGCCGTTAACTTTCTTCCGGATTTAATGTAATGATTTACGAAATAATTTTCACAAGAAGTCTCGTACAAAGTTTTTCTATTGTTAATCCAAATCTTCCACTCTCGTTCATCTACAATTAATTTTATTTTATCAGTAAACGATGATTGACTTTCATAAAAACATTCAATGAATAAATTAACGTAATAAGTTTCAAAGTTACTTTGACGAGATAATTTAAGTAGACGATCTAAAGAAAAAATAAATATAAAATAACATTAAAAAAAAAAAATTAAAATAATTGATATTATAATATCATATAAATTATAAAATTCGACTTATTAATACATAAATCAATATCAATTTATAATTTAATTATAAATTGATTGAAAATAAATTAAAATTGAAAAAAATAAATTGAAATTAAATAAACGTAATGACAAAACGAATGAAACAATATAAAACACCATTTTAATTGTTGCTTATCTGATGTTCAGAATTTTTATCTGTAATTAGGTGTTTAGTGAACATTACGGACGTATAAAAAAAAGACAAATACAAAGAATAAATATAGTTAATATAAAATTGATGTGTCAAAAAATAACTTTGTATTAATAAATGTAAGTTGATCATTATTAATACGTTATTTATTAGTCTCTAAGCTCTATCTTTTATTACTTTCTAGAGGTGTTAAAAAGTAGTTTAAGTTAGATGTTAAAAAAAAAATAATGTTTAGTGAAAACTTGAATTTTTTAGTCTTCAAGTTCTTTGGTTTCAGTTGTTGAAATTCAAAAGTGATTAAAAAATTTAAATATTGAAAATAAAAAGTGATTATTGCTAAAGAGGAACACCAGCAACGGTAATGCAATTATTTGCCTGCTTATCGTCTTGTCATTACTTCAAATCTATGTTAAACTTCTACAATGCTATTAGTATCAATTTCATACCTAGAACGCATAACTTACAAATTGTCTAACTCGGACTGCAATTTATTAAAAAGTTTCATCCAATTAGGCAATATTAGGTGATTAGTAAAGCCAAATTATGTAAAAAGTGTAGGCAAGCAAAAATAAGTACTGAGCACAAAGTATGGATCTCACCTAGTGCAAAATCTTATGAAACCCATTAAAAAAAAACTAAACAAGTTAATTGAAAAGTTTTTTTTTCTCTTTATGTATTTTTGTTCTAGACTTATAAGCATTCAACAAAAAAAAAATCAACTTTGTAGTTTGTTTCAATCTTTTTTAATTCAAGATATAAAAAGTGTCAGTTTTACTTGACCCAATATTTAAAAAAAACAAACTCCCTAACAAATTTTTTTTTGTGAAAACAAACTTAATAACTGTTTTAAATGACAAGGTAAAACATTTAGGTTGATAAAAAAGCAACTGGAACAGCATAAGGAACCATCAACAATCTGATAAAAAAGTACAAAATTGTTTGTTTGAATTTGCATAGACAAAACAGCAATACTAAGCAAACATCAAAGAAGATAAAAGAGTTTTTATCTTTGAATAGCCGGCTCGAAGTTCAGATTTTATTGCAATTGAACACAAATTCTGTGCAATTCTGGATCAAAAAAGTGGCAATTTCAAAACAAAACAAAGAGCAAATTTCAAAGCAAAACAAAGAGCAAAGAGCATTCTCCTAGAAGCTTGGACTTAAATCAATCCAGTTACGACAAAGAAATTAGTTAAACCAATGCAAAAACGACATGCAGAAGTCTTGAACGCTAAAGATAGTATTGATATTAAAAAGTCAAAAAATTTAATTACTTGGAAAAATATTTAATAATTAAAATTTAATTTGGATACTCATTTAAAGTTAAAAAAATGCATAATTTGAATGCATCGTTAAGTTTGTAGGATATAAATGTAATTATTCTAAAGTTTAAGTTATGAATTCTTGATTAAACTGGCATTTATAACAATCATAAATTTTTTTTTCTTCTGAAATTACTTGTCAAAGTTTATTGGTTTACTTTACCAAGTTTAGTTTTGTATTTTTCCGAAGTTTACTTAATTTTTTTTTAAAAAATTTTGTTCAGATAATTATATCTCCTACTGAATAAGATGTGTAATAGCTGACACAGATGAATTCACTTGTAGTCAAAACTGATATATATATTTGTTATACTTTCTAATAAATTATAATTAATTTTAAATTTTTCTTAAAGTCTTGCCAAATATTGTCAAACATACTAAATACAAAAAACAGAGTCTATCCTTTAAAGAAGGAATGATAAAAACAGCTTTAAAAAAAACTTAACTTTTATAAACTTTTGATTTTAATAAACTTGCACTTTTGCTAAATAGATTTTATATAAAATAATTTACAATAATGCAATAAAGTATTATAGACTTACCAAAAATAGAAAACAAAAATAAAGAATCTTCACAAGATTTTTTTAAAGGATTCAGGTTAACAAGAAACTTTAAGGAACTATTTTGATTTTTATTGGTTAAACCACAAATCATTGATAAACAACTCTTCAGCTTTTCATTGGTCATAATCTCTTCACTACTTAAACAATTATATGCATATATAGATGCACAAAACTCCATTATTGTCAAATGTGCAAATTGATAAATATATTCACCTAGACTTGTTTCAATCCTTTCAATAAATCCAAAAAAAGTTTCTTCATTTTTATCAAAGTCAATGATAAAGGTTTGAATGTCTTCATTGGAAAAAATTACTCTATTTTCAACAAACAATTGATATGCAATTTTACAAATGTTTAAAACATATACTTTATTGTGATTGTTTTTCATAAAATGAAAAATCGATTCATTGTTTTTGATGATGTGTTTTTGCAAAAAGTGTAAAAAAATATTTGCATACAAGTCTGTCATTGTTAAAAACGAATTTTTGTATAAATATTTTGAATTACTAATAATCCTACACATGAAAGATAAATAAAATGGAACAGATGACATTGATTTTGCAATTGCAGATTCCTTCAAAGTTGTTTTCACAACATCTTTTTTTTCCTCTAAAACATTATTTTCTATATAACTATTTATTCCGTCTTCATTAAATCCCATAATTTGGATGTTTATCTTATCACAATCCTCTGTAGATATACTTTGATACTGATCAATTGCATAAACTCTACCAGCAACTACATATTTATATTTTCGAATTTCTGTTAAAACATCAACAATTGGATAGTTATAACTCGGACTGCAATTTATTAATTCATTCAGATATTTAAACTCATCTAATCCATCAATTATAAAGAGCACAGAATAAATACTAATATCAAAATCATTTACAATATCTTTGTAGAAAACATTTAGTAATTCATTAATATTTGAAATATTTTGATATTGATTAAGCCTTCTGCATTCCAAATAAAACACAAGTTTAACATTTTTCCAAATTAGACCATTTGACCAATCAAGCAAACATTTCCTAAGCAACCATGTTTTCCTAATACCAGCTATTCCAGATATTAAAGTTACAGATTTTTCTTTCATAAAAATTTCATTATATGGAATTGGTGTATAATGCATTTGCTTTTTTAGAAAATCCTCTCGTTCAACACTAAAAACAGCATCTATTTGAGTATTAACTGCATCAACAATACATAGATCAACAAACTTATGCATTAAATCAACATTTACAGGTGATTTTAGTGGTACTTGAACTTCATTTATTTTCACATAATTTGTAAGATAGAAACTTTTGAGTGCTGCGCATATCTCTGATATATCTAAATACAATAACTTATTTTCATCATCAAATCATCATCATCGTCATCATCATCATCATCATCTTCATAATCATTATAATCAAATTTAAAAGATTACAGGTCATTATCATGGTTAAATATGAAGACCTTTCAATATTTTAGATAACAAGAAAAAGTTTAAAAGATTTGGTACATATTTTTTAATTGAAAATATATGCACCAGATAAATCTAGACAGTCAAGTCTAAATGAGAAAAAAGTTTTATCTCAAAATTGAATATAAAAATACAAAATATTGTTTATCGATATTTATCATAATCTAGAAAGTCAACTCTAAATAAAAATTAAAAAAAAAAAAGTTTAGAAGAATTTGTTTTTTTTTAAAAAAGTCTTAAATTTTAAATATTTCATTATGTCTGAAAAACCTGCAATTTGGTAATACTAAATCATACTATACTATAAGGAAAGAAGGGTCTAATCAGGTATCATGTCATTGACATAATTTAAAATTAAAACAAACAACATCAACTGAATTAGTATAATCTGAAAAATATTTTGAGGTTTAAAATATAAAATAAATCTTTTTTACATAAATTCAAATTTAGTGGATTTGAAAGATTTTACAATTTGTTATAATATATTGTTTACTTAAAAATATATATTGAAATGATTTAAATTGGTCTGAATTATATTTTAAATAACAATAACAACTGCAGCAACAGGTTAGGTCAGGTTCAGGAACATCAGGATCACCCTGCTACTGGTACCATGTTATTAACTACCACCTGACCTATGTCATGCTGCCTTTTAGGGTTTAATTTAAAGCAAAGGCTAGAAGAAATAAACTCCAACTTAAAAAATCCCCTGCCTTGGGGCTTTTTTTGAGTAAAGGCTAGAGATGGTCTCAATAAAAACGTTCATTAGAGGCAGATCTAGTTACTTAACTGAATTCTTACTGTCCTGTAGAAGGCCTCTTAGGCATAGTAAGTGACCAGGGTTAATATTTGACCAGGGCCAGGGCTAGGACCAGGTTTGATAAAATATAGCTATGGCTAGCGGTTGGGTTTGTGACTAGGGCTGCATAAACATTTATTCATCCTAAAGTATATTTTTTAATTCAAAAATGTTATATTTTGTATATATAAGCATATATAAACATCATTATGATCAACATGATCATCAAAATCAGCATTATTACTTTGATAATGACAATGATCATCAACAGCATAAAAGGCTAAAGGTCAACAGCATAAAACCCTGATAAAGGTGATCATGATCATCATCATCATCATTATCATCATCATTATTATAATCATCATCAGGCTTTAGCCTTCCTCTTTTATGTTATTTCTCTAATATAAACAATCTAAACCCTGACTAGAGTCACACCATGCATCTATCTGATCATCATCTCTTTCGGCAAATAATATACTATATATATACTATATAAACATATATGTTTATATCCATATTATATATGCATAAAGTGCATCTTGGAAGCTTTTATTTTTTCTGGATTGAAAGTTTGGAAGCTTTTATTACTTCTCTTCATTTTTAAGTCAAGTCTCATTCTACTCCACATTTTTCACCATCATGAACAATCGCTTTATTAAACATAAATCTTTTCTAAAATCTTTTTTACAAGAATATCTTTGACATCAAGACATCAAATGTCCTTTAATTATTGCAAGAAGCTATTGTAAAAAAGACCTGTCTAATTTTAAGCACTGTTATTCTCACTAAATCTTGTATCTTATCTCAGATTAACTTTTGGTTAGTCTTACAATGTCAATAACTAAAGTGAATTTAATTTAATTTCAAACTCATGAGTCTGATCTTTTTTACTTCTCCCCAAAAAAAGCAGAGTTATTTGGAAAGAAAATCTTACTCTAATTTGACTTGAATATTATGGCCATACTCTTCTTGAAAGTTAAACAGATTAATCCATTGTTAAACATCGGAATCCCTCTTTCAATGCTAAAGTTAATTTTCAATTAAACATTTCTACAGTGACTCCTCCAGAATAGATTACCATCATATTTTTATAAGCAGAACTCTCTTCAAATTTTAGCAAAATTTTTCAAGTGATGAGTTTTGCCAAATTTTTTAAAGTGGTTCCAATTTTTCAAAACTCTAAAAAACACTTTGACCTCTCTTACTACCTACAAGTCTTTACTTTTTTTAGTTTCTTTAGGTTTTGAGGCTAATTCCATTATTTCTTTTCTTATTTACAATAACAATCTTCATGAAATTTTAAGTGATTCTATTTGCTGATGACTCAAATTTATACTCCTGACAAATAACCTTCACTTTTTGGTTGCTTAGCACAAGCAGCCAATTTTAAACCTGATCTCTCTTCTGCAGTAACCTAAGGCTACCAGTGGCTTATGGATTTAAAATCTAGACTTCCACAATTTTTGTTAGACAACAAAACTTTTCTGCAAAAAAATATTGCAATATTGTTAAAATTCCTATATTGATGAATAACAAACCATTTACATTCAGACAAAATCTAAAAGCACATTGTAAATGTATTTAGACCTGCTTTTTCTGCCAAGCTTGAGCCACTCTCCATTGTAGAAAGGTTGAAAGGAATAATTTCATTCTGTTTTCTACAAATACAATCATGATTAATGCTCAAACAAGCTATCATTTCTATAACAATAAACCAAAACTTATTCTTGTTTGGCTTTTTAATCAACAAGTAGCATCCTTTTACTGTATCTGTCCTTTCTTGCTAAAAAAAAATGTATTATTCAGTTTTTTTCTTTGAACATCAAAAAAACCTTACAACCCTTACTCACTTTTATGTTTTTCTTTTTTATACAACCTACAACTTTTTAAGTCTTCAGTTACATATTTCCTAGTTTTTTTAAAAAACTCAAAACTTAATAGTGGTTGCATGCTATCTTGTTGGAAATAAATGAGAGTTTAAAAATATATAAATGTATGCCAGTGTTTAATAAATAGTAAATGTAAAGATATAAGGAGAGCTAAGTTACAACTTTAGGTTGTAACTTAGCTCTCCTTGAAACTTGGTTGTAAACTGACACAACTGCTCAATGCTCTTGCTCTATCTATGAATGAATCAAGTTGACTTGCTGTGTCTATGAATGAATCAAGTTGACTTGCTGTGTCTATGAATGAATCAAATTGACTTGCTGTATCTATGAATGAATCAAGTTGACTTGCTGTGTCTATGAATGAATCAAGTTGACTTGCTGTGTCTATGAATGAATCAAGTTGACTTGCTGTGTCTATGAATGAATCAAGTTGACTTGTTGTGTCTATGAATGAATCAAGTTGACTTGCTGTGTCTATGAATGAATCAAGTTGACTTGCTGTGTCTATGAATGAATCAAGTTGACTTGCTGTGTCTTTGAATGAATCAAGTTGACTTGCTCTGTCTATGAATGAATCAAGTTGACTTGCTGTGTCTATGAATGAATCAAGTTGACTTGCTGTGTCTTTGAATGAATCAAGTTGACTTGCTCTGTCTATGAATGAATCAAGTTGACTTGCTCTGTCTATGAATAAATCAAGTTCTCTTTAAACTTAAATTATGCCTTAAGTAAACCAAAATACTAAACATAAAAAATCATCCCCACCACTTGACTGTTTCAATAAAACTTGTGGTCATCATACTGACTGGCATGACACCACTTACAATCTTGCTGGCACAAAAGCCCATAACTTATATTTTTGCTTTAAACCATATATCTTATAAAATGAAGATACCGTTATGGTATTTTCTTCAAAACAAAAATAATTTTTGTAAACAAAGAAATACAAAACTCACAAAAGAATTAAAGTAAAAAAAAATGTATATCTCTAAACAATCTTCTATAAGCAATAACAATTTTCATTTAAGGAACATTAAAGTTTTATTAACAACTGCCTTCAAAAAAGCTACGCTATTTTTTTAACAATATTTTGTAGTACTGCTAATGACGTAGTGAAATTTTTTTAACAAATCAAAATTTTTTATTTATTTGTTAGTAAAGTTAATGTTAGTTTACTCCAAGCACATAAATATTTTATTCACGAATTTGATGTTTATAAGATTTGATAAGGTTTTTTAAGGTTATACTTACTTATATTACATAAAAATAAAGTTATGGCTTTGAACAAAATTGAAACCTACATAACCTAAATGCAAAGGAGGAAACTAGAAGTTCTTGCTAAAGATTAAAATTATAAAAATCTGATTATATTTAATGCTATTCTTTTTCAAACCTAAGGTACTGTCTTTAAGGAAACAAGCTGACAAAAATCAATTTGATTTTTGTCATTTTACTTATTTTCATTTTTATTTATTTTTTTGATTTTCATCATTTTATTTATTTGTCAAATTATTTATTGTTCAGTTATTTAACATTATGAAAAAACTTTTCAACACAACATACTGTTTTAGGAAATTAACTGTCAAGTGATAAAATTATCAATTGACTTTGACTACATTCTCGAAAATTATCCATATTATGATTTTACCATATATGGTAATAATGCGGTAGTAGTGTAGTGGAAGGGCGCTCGCTTTGTAAGCGAGAGGTTCGGAGTTCGACTCCCACCGCGTAACTGGAAGTACCGCGCTAAACTTAATTTCTCTGCACAGCGGCCTTGCTTGTCAAGGTTCGTGTTTTGAAGTTAATGAGTTGAGAAAGGGTTGAACCACGATTTCTAACAAAAAAAAAAAAAAAAAAGAGTAGTCTCCATGACTGTAGCGGCCCCTTCGGGCTTTGTTTAGATAAATAATTGGAAAAAAAAAAAAGAAAAAAAATATATGCAGGTGGTAGAATCAACTTATTAATTACTGAAGTAATTAATAACTAGTAAGTAATTAATAGACAAAGTTTGGCATGCTGGTCTTCTGCATAAGCTTGCTTCATATGGTGTTTCTGGGAAAGTTTTTGAGATTATCAAATCATTTCTTTCTGACCGGTTTATTAAAGTCATCCTTGAAGGCCAACACTCTTCTTTATTTCCAGTAACTTCTGGGGTTCCCCAAGGTTCCATCCTGGG